AATTAGCATGGTTAAATTGTACAACTTCTCCTGTTCTTTATTCTCTTAGTTTATATTTGTCTTCTTCCTTGAGGGTGGGAGGCAATTAATGGATAATCAATTCTAACTGGGGTTGGGAGGTTGGTATTATAATAATTGGAAAATTCAAAGACATTATCCTATAAGAATAATGCTGGTAGCTGGAGGGTCACTAAACAAAGACTCAAAGAGGAATAGGGGACCCCCCCCCCCCCTCACCCTAATATTGGAACATAGCTTTATGATATAATTTAGGGACTCAAAAAGATTATGAGATTGTATATACTAGCTTTTCGTCCTAAAGTCTAGGCCTTATATAAACTGTTTTCATGTATAAGGTAGCATTAGGGTCCTTAAAAAATGAGAATTGGCCGGTCGGAATACTGTTCATATTTCATGTATGCTTATGGAGGGAATCGGCCGGTTCTAGACCCGGGCCTATCTAATGATAAGCCTCTTACTACCCCACATGGGGAAATAAACAATGGTATGAAATTTAATAAATGGGCCTAGACACATAAGACCAGCTTTGAGATGGGGCCAGAAGAAAGACACTAGATTTGATTTCTCGGACATCTGAATCTCTACAGGTGAGAGCATGGTGTTCTAACCTTTATGGTGAGTAACCATGGTGGAAGTAAAAGTCTTTTAGTAAACATTATTAGGCTTTACAAGTGGTGATTTTGGGAGCACTCTTGAAAGATGGCCACATCTTAGTGATCATTTTCCTTATCGAATATGGATGTGAATGGATTGATTTGATTAATTGTATGAGAGCTATGCTTTTACCTAAGGTGATTTTTGTGCTAGTTCTTACTATGAATAATCAGGCGGCTTGTTTCCTTTCAATATGATAATTCTAAAATACCAAAAAACAAATTTAGTTTATTGGGGTATTTTTTTTTAAAAGGGTTGAAGGAGAATTGTGGTAATTCCTGTACAGAAAGTACACAAGGAGACCTTTTACCAGTAGTACAAGATGTCCACAATTAATATTGACCATTGGATTTGAAATTACATTTTTGCAATTATTGTATTGACAAAGCTCAAAGTACAAAATAAATTTTTTTGAACTTAGTCATACATTCAGAGTATCAGATTTTTGTCAAATGGTTATAAGTAATTGTGATTTCTTCATAGCATAGGTAAATTGTCTCATTGTATACAACCCCTTCATGTAAATGTAAAATTGTTAGTTCTTTTATTGATAGAGAATTTTATTAAAAACTGTAAATGTCAACCCTAAAAAGTTTAGACGAAAGTTTTTTTGGATGGAAGTAATTATAATAAGATATTTTGAAGGATGAAATGACTCGTCAATCCTTAGGCACAAAGCACGAGCACTTTGATGTTTGTTTTCAAGCCTCTCCACTTGGACTTTATGAGACACCAAGCAAAGGTGTGTGTGCTCTCCATGCCCTCCTAAGATGTAAGATCAAATCAAAATTAAATATTTCAAAATACCCAACAAATAATATTTTAATGAAGAGAGCCCAAATATATTATTTACCATTTTTTTAATATAAAAATGATAGAGGTCAACTTAGAATCCTAGTACTCGCAAGCACTTTTGTTTCTATAAAAATACAAGTTATATATCTCGCATTATGTAAATATATTATAGAAAAGTATATAATGAGACTATTTACCTTTAGTAAGGTGGTCACTATTAATTTTAAGTATTGGATATAAAATTGGGTGGTTGTATTTATTTCATTGACCAAGATCAAAATTTAAAATAAATTTTTTTGAACTTTGTGAAACACCTCAGCTAACAGATTTCACATCAAATAGTTATAAATAATTATAACCTTTCTGTACCAAAGGGAAATGATCTCGTTACATACAATCCTATTAACCCATATAGTATATTATTGATCTATGTATTAGCTTTCATTTTCTTTGTATTTGACCGAAGGGTCTTTCCCCAAATGCTTAGTTTCAAGATGTTGGGCTTTGAATATTAGCTGAAACATGCTTCTATTATTCTCTTAATGCATTTTGCGACCCTTTCAAAACCTAAATCTTTCACCAATTGAAAAAAGAAACTGATTATTTTTGTGTTTTTGTTTCACATGATCACTAATTCTTATACAAATGGATCCATTATCCATTATCACTATCTATGTGGAGAGACAGAGAGCGCAAAACAACTAACAAGGAGAGAGAGAAGAGCAAAACAACTACTAACTGGGGGAGAGAGAGAGCAAAACAATTACCAAGAGAGAGTAAAACAACTAACATGTAGGGGGAAGAGAGAGAGAGACCTAGCTAGCAAGTGCAACCTTATTTTCTTATAATAATGAGGAGATTATCTTTGGGTGCGGTTTGTATAGAGCCGAGGCTCTAAACAATCAAATTTGAGCCCACCTCCAAATAGTGTTGAAAAATATGGTTTCAATGTGGGAAAGTTTTGTGAAAGTCTTAAATTATATTTTCATCTTTAGCTATAAAATTTAAAGCTTCAAAAATAGTGTAGATCGATCAAATCTATGAAAAATTGAAAATCTTAAAAATTAACGATCGAAAAATGCATTACAAATGCACTATTTTCAAAACTTGAAATTCATTTTTTTCTCATGTTCATGCATATTGATGTCGAGATGATCAATTTGATGATATTCGAACATCAAAATAACCTCTTGTAGTGAATGTTTTGAAGTAGGCTCTAATTTGATTGTTTAGAGCCTAGGCTCTATATAAATTTTTCTTATTATCTCTTGTTTGTGTTATTATTAACTAGCAAAGATTTTATAATAATGCTAAGGTGAGTTTTGTATAAAGTTGCCTCTTTGCACTGTAGAAGTCAGGCGCACCTATAAAATTTATTTAGAGATGTCGTTTTGGCATCGAAAATCTTATGATGGCTTAAAAATCTCTTTTTATCTTTAGTTAGAAAATTTAAAATGTAAAAATTGGTACAGATAGAGTGGATCAATAAACATTTGAAAATCTTGAAAAATAGACGGTCCATATGACTTTTTACAAGATGTACTATTTTTTCAACTTGGAATTATTATTTTCTTCATGTCCATTCATCTCAATATCGAGATGATCGGTTGGAGGGTTCTCGTATGTGGAAACACTCTCCAGTGTAGGATTTTTAATATGCACCTTTCCTCAACAGTATAAGGTTGCAACCTTATACAAACTTTTTCCTTAAACAATATATGTGTTTGATATATTATCGACACACAAGCACAAATATGTGGTTGTGATTTGCTTAATCATTATCGAAAACGTATTTAATGAAAATGTGTACTATTCTAAAGCTGGAAAATTTAGATCCATTTGTTAATAAAAAAATGTCTATAAATAAAAATATTCCCTAATTGAGAGGTGGGGTGGATACTATGTACCACAAGAGGAAAGGTTCTTTTCCATAAAAAGAATAAATTGAATTAATATTTAAACAAATATACTAATATAATATTAAATTAAATAATATTTATTTCTTCAAAATATATTTTCACATAAATAAATAATAAAAGTGAGAAATAAGATAGAAAAGGACGAGATTGTCTGGCTTTTCACCGCTTTTTTCTCCCGCTGTCTCCGCTTTTAATACCCGGGCCGTGCAAACTGACTGAAATTGTCCTCATCAAATTCAATTATCACAAAACTGTCCTAAATTTTCAATGACGAAACTACCCCTAAAAGTTTCTGTCACTCCCACGTCTTACTTTTTTTTTTTTTTTGTGAGTTTTTCTACGCCCAAATGATTGAAGAAATGACAGAAGTGACCTGAGATTTCTGACAATGGCAAAACAGTCCCTGATAGGAAAATGACGGAATTGCCCCTTGATGGTTTTGGGACATGCATGAGTGGATTCAAAACTGTTTGAGATGGTTATCTTCTTTTGAAAAATTGGATTTTTATGTTATACTTTTAAGTTGCCTCATATTGTCTCGAAACAGGTGGTTTGATTTACTTACTCAAGTGATCTGTAGGAGAATTTTTTTTTTTTCTTGTAGTTATTTTTAGTAGGGTCCTCAATTTCACGGATTTTTTTCTTTCAGTTGGCAATCTGACCTTGGAATCAACAAGTCGGCTTAAAACAGACATGTAAACACAGAGTTTTCATACCTCTCTCTCTCTCATTGAGACTTTCATGAAAAAAGGAGTCCCCCTCCTGAGTCTCTCCTTGCCTTTTAATCAACATTCCACACACTCTTCGGTGTTGTCAATATGTTGGTTTTATTTTGGTAAATTTTTTATCAATTGTCAATTCCTACTTAATCAATAATTTGAATCCCATGCCTATAATAAGAAAACGACAAAATACTAATGACTTTTTTTTCACTGGACAGTATGATTCCAACCACTCTTCGAAAAAATCATGTCTTTATTCTTATGCGATTTTAGTGAAATAGAGTTTCTAGAACCACGGACGTGAAGGGTACATTGGTCATTTTCAAGAAACGAGGGGCACTTTGGGCATGACTTGTCCACCAATGATATTTTACTCTTTATCTTCCAAAGCCAGAAAGGTCGCAAGTAGTCAAACAGCCGCCAATGTTCGTCGATGATGACAAAAATGCCCTCGTTCACATGTTTAGTAATGTTTTGCCCTTTATAGAAACCCTAGCCACAATAATTAATCCCTAGGTGTAATAATAGGGTTCTAGTATGGCCATCCAATTTTTTAATAATGCACCCATATATTGTTAGGATAAAATTTATTAAAATAACCTATAAATCATATTACCCTTTTTCGTTTTGCAATTATGCATTTTTTATGAGATTTTTTACGCTGAATCAAAAGAAACAAGCAAAGTAAGTAAAATTTTTGACACTCCACCATCGCCGATTATGCTAGTACCAAGCCTGAAGTACTAAGGAGGGTTGTGTTAGACACACAAGCAACATGAAACTTTTGCTACATGTATTTCATGAAATTTGTGCCTATTATTTTTGGGTGGATTATTGAGATCAGTGATTTAAAAACCGTGAGGTCAGCACAAAATCGTTAAGTCCGATCTGAGAATCAATCACTCCGTGCCAATTCTGTTAATATATAAAAAACCATCCGAGTCTAAAAGAGAATCAACTATTTGCTACAGTGGAATCGGTCATTCCGTGCCGATTCTGCTAATACATAAAACATCATCCGGCTCAAGAAGAGAATCAACTATTTGCTACAGTAAAACAAATATTTTGCTCTAGTAAAAACACTTATTCGCTGATCCGGTATGTTTGCACTTGTTTTTTTTCTCCGGTTCACTATTTTGAAAATAGCAAATCCCCATAATAAACATGGTGAAAATAGCAAATCCCCATAATAAATAGGCAAATAAATGAGTAAAAAAAGCCCCCCGTACTTGGAGAAGAAGTGTTCACATGTGGGCATTCAGGTAGTTATGTTCGAAGAAAACAGAAACCGCCATGAATCCTTATCTGCAAAAGAATACCTTTTTTGTTTTTAGCCTTTAAAAGAAAAGAAATTTTGAAGTGGGTGAGAAAAGAAATTTTGAAGTGGGTTATCAGAGGATAAGCTGATACCTTCCAAAAATGGAAAATCTTCCTTAAAGTTGAGAAGAAAACATGTGCAATAATATAATGTGAGCAAGGGTTAATGGGGAATACCCAACCGAAGAATGGAGCTATAGTTTCTATAAATGGAAGCTTTTAGAGTGAAAGGAATCACGGAGCACCTCGTGGCTCACTTCAAAATTTCCAAAAATGGTTTGTGCTTCAACCAACCACTCACCGGAGTCCTGCAAATCAAAGCTGACAGCATGAAATGAAATGAAATGCCACCATCACCATCACCATCGGCGGGTAATTTGGTCATTTTTTATGAGATGTAGCTGGCTGCAGTGTTCCCATAACTAGGGCCTTTTTTGTAATTTTCCCACCTAGACTCAGACCCAGCTCCAGCTCCAGCTCCAGCTCCAGCTCCAGCTCCAGCTCGGTGATAATAATGTAGAAATTGAACTGATTTAATCACACTGAGGTGAAAGAAAAAGAGAGAAAGAGGAAAAAAAAGAAAAAAAAAAAAGGAAAGAATAACAGAAAGCAAAGGAGAGATATAAAGAAGAAAGGTACCCTTGACTGATTTTTTTTTTTGGGGGTTTACGTTTTACAAGAGCCAAGGAAAATCCAGGTTTATTTCCTTATTTGTTTTTCTCCCCCTTCTCTTTAGCTACTGTACAGTTTTTGATTCATGAGCTTCCATGGTCTAGATCACACGAGAAAAAGAGATTTCAAACAAACACAAAGAAAGGAAACAAGAAATAAGAAAAATTTCATCTTGTCGCTCCCTCCGGGAAAAATTCAAAGGGAGCGTACAACGCCGGGAAATTCTCCGGTCAGTAGTCCCAAAGGAAGGCGTCGACCCCAAAGGAATCGGATTCCGGCGGGGGCGGAACTTGACATGCTAAGCCGGGCTCCAGTAGGGGCACGGGCTCCGAGAAAGTGAAGAAATTGGGCATGTCAAAGACATAATCATAGTAATCGGGCTCTAACTGATATGATAGATGAGATGATGGGGAGTAGTGATAGTAACTCCCGCTCAGTTGTGGGAGCTGGGTGATCTCACTGGTGGTGATGGACTGGAACTCGTCCAGCACCTTGATTTGACAAGCTTTTGCATTATTATTGTTATTTGTGCTGAAGCTGTTCTTGCTCATGTTGTTTGGGGTGAGGATGTTGCTCGTGATGGTCCTTTCTGGGCTGAAGCTGCTTTCAATGCTGCTGTTGGCGATGCTGCCGGTGCTATGGTTAATATTGGTATTAGTGTTGCTGTCGGGGCAACTGCTACTAAACATAGCGGCAGCTTTAGCGGCCGCGGCTTGAATGTCTCTGGGAGACAATGTGGAGGGGCGGGGGAAGGACGCGGCGAGCTCAGGGAAATTGAGTGTCGTATTGGGGCCCTTGATGCTCAGTGCGGCAACATCGTGAGCTCGGGCGGCCATCTCCGGAGTGGGGAAGGTGCCTAGCCAGATCCTAGACTTCTTCCGGGGCTCGCGAATCTCCGACACCCATTTCCCCCAGTTTCGCATCCTTACGCCTCTGTACACTGGGTGCTCGCCCTCCAGGGTTTTTCGCCGCCTCCGGGCTTCGTCCCCTTGGCCTTGGCCTCGGGCTTGGGCAGCCTTGTGCTTGTTCTGCTGAGGGGTCGAGGAGGAGGAACAGAGAGAAGATGGGGAGGATGGGTTGGAGGTGCTTGTGGTGTCGGCTTCCCAATTGGGAGGATCAGCCATGTGGGTTGAGACAGAATGTTGATGGCTGAGGGGGATTGATGGTGCCTCTTGGAGGAGCAGATAGACAACCCTAGAAATTAAAAAATTGTAAGAATGGGAGTAGCTTGAAGAAAAGGAGAGGGTTTTTTTTATGAAGATTCGTGAGAAGGCATGGCAGAAATGAAGCTTCTAAAGAGAAACTGTGTAGAGAATCAGCAATGGTGGAATAGAAATTGCAAATGCAATTGTCAGAGAGGAAGCAAAAATGAAAGAAATTTCAAGAAAAAGTAAGAGAATTGCAGAGAGGATTGTTGAGAGCGTGTGTGGAAAATATGGCGACCCTTGAAACGAGTGCTGAAGTATATATAGAGAGAGAAAAACAGCAATGGTGGAAGGGGTGAATGGAATTTGCAAAGAGAATTGTGAGAATGGTAGAAAAGAAGTAACCTTGGAAAGAGTGAGGAAGGTTATGCAGAGAATTGGCAATGGTAAAGAGAGATGCCAAGAGAATTGAAGTAACCTTGAAAAGAGTGAGGAAAGTGTACTTGTGAGTTGGTGTTTTTGTGGGGGGAGAAGCAAAGGGAGCAGAGGAGAATTTTGAGAAAATGGAGAAACCTTGCACCAAAGGATGAGAGCACTACAAGGGGTATGGAGGGTTTTATTTAGTTTAGAGAGAGAGAGAGGGAGGGGGATTCTTAGACATAGACAGAGAGAGAGAGAGAGGAGGGAGGGTACTTCCTAGACATA